GACCCTCACAGCGCTCCCGGCGGGCTACAGGTGGGAGAGCGTCCGCTGCAGGAAGTAGATGACGGCGTCCTCTACTCCGATGTTGGGTCTGTAGGCGAACTGCAGCGGGTCCAGGGTGGGGCTGACCACGGAGCGGAGATGGGTGAGGATGAGCCGCTCCATGGTCTTCATCAGGTGGGAGGTCAGTGCGACTGGTCTGTAGTGAGCCGGTTCCTTGGCGTGTGCTGTTTTTGGAACCGGGATCACACAGGAGGTCTTCCACAGGACAGGGACCTTCTCCAGGCTGAGGCTCAGGTTGTACATGTAGCTGAGGACCCCAGAGAGCTGGTCTGCACAGGTCCTCAGCAGCCTGGGACTGATCCCGTCCGGTCCTGGGGATTTCCTCAGCTTCAGGCGCTGGAGCTGACTCCTCACCTGGTCCGGTGTGATGGAGAGGGGGGGGAACCGCTTCTGCTCCAGCTTTTTCCCATAGTCCTTCTTGGCCCACCTGATCCTCCACTGGAGCTCGTGCTGGATCCTCTTCTGCTCCTCCCTGTCCCCTGAGATGAAAGCCCTTTTCTTGAGGTTCAGGAGGGCTTTAAGCTCAGGGGTCACCCATGGGTGGTTGTTAGAAAAACACCGCACCTTTTTAGTTGGTACAGTGTTATCCACACAGAAGAGAACATAGTCTGTAATGCAGTTTGTCAGGCTCTCGATGTCCTCACCATGAGAGCTGCAGATCATTTCCCAATCAGTGTTTTGAAAACAATCTCTCAGCATCTCATCCACATCATCGCTCCACACTTTTACAATCCTCTTCTGCGCTGGATTTCTTCTCACCACTGGTGTGTATTCCGGAGACAGACGGACCAGGCTGTGATCAGAGCGTCCGAGAGGGGGGAGGGGGGAGGAGGTGTATGTTAGGGTTTAATCCCGGGATACGGGATTCCCGGGAAATCTGATGAAAACTATTTCCCGATTCCCGGGAAATGTTATGACGGGAAACGGGAAATGAAAGTAAAAAAAAAAATACAGTGCGCTCCTATTATAAAGCACGTTTATTGTTGTTCAAAGTTCAAACATATTTCATTTACAATCAACATGTCTACAGCTGAAAGGATGGCTCCTAAATTGTGTTTTTGACAACAAATATGGGTCTTAATCGCGCTAAACCACGACTTGTAATGAGGCCAGGCTCAGGGTACGGGGCACATGTGAGCCCAGAATTTGGTTACGTCCAATTCTATCAGAAAGCTCCTTTCTTTTTTTCCATCTGCTAAGGGCAGCAACAGGTTTGGCTAACATACATATAACACATTTTAAAATCATATAAAATGCATTTAGGGTAATGTTCTGCTTACAATGACGATAGGAATGATAAGGAAGAGAGGAGAAGGGTAAGAAGGTTGATATTAGAAATTGGATGCGCCCGAGAGCCGGCTGCAGCGAACACACGGAGGAGTTTATGGAGGTGGCACCCGTTTTGTTTTACGCTTTAAAACTCTTTGGGCTTATTTCCAAATGGGGGATTACATATCTGCGCTCAAACTATTATATGGACTTAAACATGAAACTGGTCTGAACTGAAGTGGTCTGTGCTGTTCATTAATAACTAAGGTAAGACCCATAACACAATTGGAAATGTGCCTTTTACGAACTTTTGCGTTTTGTTTGAGCAAACAATGCGGGCCATGGAAAACATTCTGCTGTAGCCAAACTAATTGTGAATAAGCCGCTCTGTAGGTTCTGTTGATTTATATGATATATGTTCATCTGATTGGGCTGAAGTCAGTGCCTCCAAACCACACCGCATGTAACTTTTCGACAAGTGGATTGCGCAGACATTTAGAATCTCATAATAGTGAAATTCCTGAAGAAAGCCCATCAAGAAAACGTCTGAAAACGCTATGGCTACTTTAGAAAAGCTAGCAAGTCGCTTGGTGAAACACTAGTGGAGATGGCAGCTTTTGTTGGATTATATATTTGAGTGATATCATACATTACTTGGGCTAAAAACAACAACTACAAACAACAGCTATTTCCCGGGATTTCCCGGGAAAGGCGTCGTCTTTTCCCGGGATATGATACGTCTCATTTTCGGGAAAAATATTAAACCCTAGTGTATGTGTCCCGCACATAAACATACAGTAGGTCCAGAGTCTTATTGCCACGAGTTGGGCACGTGACATACTGTTTGAATGTCGGGAGAGTGGCGGAGAGGGAGGCGTGGTTAAAGTCTCCGCTGATCAGAATCAGAGCGTGGGGACTGCGGGTCTGGATCTGGGTCACAGTTCTGTGTATCCCCTCACATGCTGCGGCCCCGTCTCCTGACGGGGGAATGTAAACACATAGAACCACGGTGTGTGAAAACTCCCACGGCAGATACCTGGGTCTCATGCTCACAGCGAGCAGCTCCAGGTCCTGTGTGCATGTACGCTGAACCACATGCACGTGCGTCGGGATGCACCACTGCTCGTTCACGTAGACCGCGACACCCCCGCCTTTCTTCTTCCCACTCCCCTCCGCGCAGCGGTCCGCTCGCACAAGTTTAAATCCCTCCAGCGCGACCACAGAGTCCGGTATATTCCCACACAGCCACGTCTCAGAGAAACACATAAGTCCACATTGTCTGTACTCTTTTTGATGGCGAACCAGTGCGGTCAGCTCCTCAGTCTTATTAGAGATGGACCGTACGTTCCCCATGAGGATGGAGGGGAGATACGGTCTCTTCTTCCTCTTTCGGCCTCCTCTGGAGCCCCTGCGTCTCCTACGGATCTCCAAGGGGATCACCGGCTTCTCTGAGTGCCGGAAAGCGGAGTCTCTAAGGCCCTGTTTATACAGAGACGCTGCGCAGACGTTTCCAAGCTATTAACAGAAACGACCAGGCTCCTAATGCAAATTTCTCAGCGTTCACATGAGGTTGAAAAACGATGTAGTTCTAGCGCCCGGCCAGTAGTGGGCAGAGAAACTTTACAACACTCACACGACCCCGAGCCCCGTGCCCAGCCCCCCTCTCGGCAGTGTACTCACTTCCTGTGCCAGACCCTCAGAACGTACCAACATCATTCTGCATTTTAACAGCAGCTGTGAAAATGGGAACTGAACCTAGAGCTTCGCGTGGTCTCGTTTGGACGAACGAAGGAGTAGAATTATCCTCTGTGCTGTGCTCGAAGCCCACGAAGCTAGTTAGTGCGCGCGGCGCCATTTTTGTTGATGTTTGTTCTCCGCTACTGCGCATGTCCAAATTTACGTGCGGGGAGCAGCGCGGAGGTGGGGGTCAGAGCAGAGGGGGATTTCACACCTTTTCCCCTCTCGCGGGTGTGAAAAAGCTCCCTGCTGTGCAGCGTATCTGAGTTGTCCCACTCTGCAGGCTGGATCTGAACACTTACGTTTTCACCCCCCTGGAACACAGTCTTCGTATGAACGCTTGGTAGCAACCGACATCCAACTATACCGTTTTACTGCCACATTGTCTCCGTGTAAACTCAGCCTAAGTCCGAGAAGCTGCTCCCATGTGTGTAAACAATGGGACACGCTGGTCTCGTGGCTCTGTGAGCGGAGGACTCCGAAAAAAGTGCCATAGACATGTTAATCCAGTGAGAAAGTCCACGAGGCTAGGCTTCCCGTGTGCACAATGCACAAATAGACGCTTGCCTACAAAAAATAAAAATAAAAAAGCACATCTACAAGAAATAAATAGAGAGAGGGTAGGAAAGAGAAGAGAGCCAAAGTGACGAGCTGCACAGTGGGAGCTGGCGCCGGAAATAAACTTAACCTAACCAAACCAAAAGAAATAGAACCCCCCACCAAGAACTAAGGAGGGCTTAAATACAGGAGGAGTAACCCAAACTAACACCCGAGGGGGAAATGCTAAACTGAAAGAAAATATAATGTGTAGCAGTGTCCCTTTCACCCCCTTGATTCTTGAGACCAGTGGACTCCTCCAGGGTATAAAATGGCCTCCAGCCCTTCAGCCTTGTCCTTTAGTTTTCTGTAGAGTGGTGGCAGAAGAATCCACCACATCTGCAAAAATTGATGAAATATGAGGTAATTATTACTTGATACAAGGGATTTTTTTCAATGTAGTTTGAGTACAGTTATAGTTCTGACTGTCTTTAGACAAGATTTGCCAATAGGAGAAAGCCATTTAGTCTTAATTCAAGAACTTTGAAATGCTTGTCCCATTTGCAACTTTTGTTTATCAAAATGTCCTCAAATCAAGATACATTTCACAAAATGTACAACTCCAAGTATTTTCCATATTAAAGCTGGGGTACCCAACATTTCATAAATAACTAGAAAAGCACTGGTAGAGCACAGACCCGCAAAGGGTGCAGTTCAATTCCTTAAAAAATAAAATAAAATTTGGATCGTCGCCGAAATTAAATTGCTTGTTTCCTGAACATGTCCAAATCCTCGCATGAGTTCTTGAGTCATGTTGCTCACAGACTGATAAACGCAGGTGATCCCTTTATTTGCCTCATGGCCGGAGGTAATGACAAATTGTTTGTTCCAATGTACAGATTCTTGTAAAAATATAGTTACATGAACAAATCAGACCACAACACACTGTCTGCATCTTGTTAGTAAACATGTTATTTTTTGCATACTTGTAAGAAAGAGGGACCAAAAATCCCTGGGTTTGATCCACTCAGCCACCGCAGCACAGACTCACTTCCATCATCACCGTGTGGGGAATGATTAGAACAATATCTGAACTCTGAACATTGTAAAGCGCTTTGTTTAGCTGTGCATACAACTGAGGGATTATTTATTATGATTTTAACGCTATCTTATTTTGTTCAGCACGTTGAGTTGTGTTTGAATTGTGTTATACAAATAAACTTGCCTTGCCTTTAACTTCCCTTTTTATGCAGTTTCTGTGGCATCAATATAATGATAGACTTGATACCTACGGCATAATCGCAGTGCTGTAAAAACACGTATTGATATTCTCTCAGTACTTTTACACGACTGCATGAAGTTTTCTGCGCGAGTGACGATGTGATTGTATTTCACAGCCCTTTGGAGGAGACAACTGGTGCGACACGATAAACAACCGAGCTTACTGCCAGTACGACGGAGGAGACTGCTGCCCATCCACGCTGTCCAGCAGAAAGGTGAGACACAAGAAACCACCAAATACCATGAACCAATTTGAAATTTTTTGTGCGGTTACCATTCACAAATCACGAAGACTGCAATAATTCTGGTTCTTTGCAAACAAGAAATGGCCTAAAGACAAGCAAAGCAGCACTTGAATTTAAGAAAACGTCACTTGATTTTGAAGATTTGTCATCAGAACAAACAGATAGTTGTAATTCTTTCAGTTTACTTTTTTTGTTGTTCAAATTAGTCTTGGAGCATGGGTCGGTTAGCCTGACTCTCGCCAGACCCTTGTAGTTCCGCCATGCTCCACCAGAGGCATTTGGCTGAAGTGCAGTGAACTACATGGGTCTGGCGAGAGTCGGGCTAGGGGTCAGTAGCACCTCATACAGAACAGAAGACATCGCAGGTTGACGTGCGCTGACGTGCCCAATCACTCCATGTTATTTATCAGCTTCATGGACTGAGGAACCAAGGAGATTTTAAACCTACACAGGAGAATCCCGTACCTCCTCCCAGAATGCATCAGTTTGCATTGTTGTCGTGAAGAAGGATAATTTTCTCATTCCAAATATGACAACTTTTCCAGCTCATATATATTATTCATATTAGCCAAAGCTGTGTTGCACAACTCAAGTCTGAATCTAGTACTAGTAAGAAGGTTAGAACTTTATGTACATATTCACAGATATGTATATTCCTGAGTATATACCATAGACTGTATATGTTAATGGGCGTAGTCATGCCTATCTCCGCCGTTCTAACTAATGGGCCAAAAATTTTGCTCTACTGGAGCTATCCAAAATGGCCACGAGTGGTCCCACCCACAAGAAAATTGTGAAAAAACGCATCTGCGCATGCGTCAGCCGGCGCAGCTCCATTCATTTGAACGAGAGACTTCAAAAATTCACAGCAAGTAAACTAGAGTGGACAAAAAAATTCACTCCCTCAGCATTGACACACATGTGGAACGGAGCTTTGGGCCAAGAGCCAACTTTTGGCCCATCCTCTAAAAAGACGTTTTCGAGAGGTCAGTTAATGCTATATGTTAGCATTGGCTAATTCTTATTCCGGGTCCACCCCCAACGGCCCGGGGTGGTATTGCAAGCATGTCAGCGCACGTCATTTTGGCCACTTTTGAGCCGGGACCCGCCCCCACTGGTATATGCGTACTGTATATATCCAGATTATTATACTTATTATTATGAATATTTTCAGATACTTTACTTTAATGTTATTTTTATTGCGGAATACTCTGCAAGCTACTGTGACAAGTCAATTTCCCTTGTTGTTCTTTTCACAACAAAATGCAACTTTTTGAACCTACAGCATGTTGAAAATCGCAATCGCAACGTCGGCCAGAAATATCGTAATGAAATACCGTACAGGCCTATTATCCACTCGGCTCTTAAACTGATGCAGCAGTCAGATCCTTCCTGTTTACAGTAGTAGAAGTCGGTCCCTGGCGCAGATGCAGTGGGGCTGCACAGGAGACCGGCTCTAAACAAACAAACAGAAATCCCTGCTCCTTTCCTCTGGCTGCTGTTAACAACTGGGCCCTCGTCTCTACTTAAAACAACACAGGAGACTTGTGCCCTCCAGCTTTCCACTCAAATTGTAAATAAGCACATTTTCACCACCCCGTCCGCCGCACACTTTGGGCTCCCTCATGTTTTGGATTTTCTCTGCTGCTCTGAACTTGATACAGTTAAGTAGCAGAGACTTTGTACACTCAAGAAAACTCATTTTATGATTTAGATTGGGGAAGCAGCCAAGGCTACACCTGCATTTTTTCACCTCACATAAAGACAGTACCAAGCATGCACACATCAAAACACTGGTTTTTTTTGTACCTCAGCCATTTCATTCCATCCATAGTTAAATGTGTGTCCACTTATTGGTTAAAACTGTTTGTCATAAATATTACATTGTGATGGTCCTAACAGAAAGAGTAAAACACTTTTTCTTTTGCTAAATGTATAAAAATGAGCCCTGTGAGTCACTATAATTATGATATTTTGGGGCCTCACTTTTATATGTTCATTTATTTATTGTACACAGTTGTGACAGAGGCCGAAATACTGATAGCCAATTGGTTTTTACTCATAGTAGTTTTTTGCTGTGAAAGTATCTAACTACATTTTGAGAGGTAGATACCTCAGCTTTATATTCATAGACTGTGTGTTTTAGGCTAAGCTTGGATATAGTTCAGACTAGTGCAGTTGTTTATCTCTCAAAAGCCAAAAATGACACATAATCCGTGTAGTTTTTACAACGCGCTAAAGTGTCTAATAAGCGTTGTGTGGTCGGCCTGTTTGCGTTCGCTGAAAGATGCAGCCGTATCATGTTGCCCTGTTTGCTGCGTGTAATTACTGTATATGTTTGGGGGATGAGTGGAATTGGATGAATAATAAGTAGAAAGAAGAGGTCAAAGCCTCTGCACAAACTGTCACTGGAGCATTTTACTGAGAGCGGCTGAACCCAGTCTGGGCAGGGACAAACGGCTGAACTCTAAAATCTCAATTGATAAAAGTGAAATGCAACCGATTTGTGACTTGTCCAATTTAAAGTATACTAATCATCGCAGCGCAGACCAGAATTGTTAAGTGTAATAATGTGAGTATTTTCGGGTTGTTTGAGTGTCAAATTGTAATTTAAGTCAATAATGTTATTATGAGGAAATAAGACAAAAAAGGATTTGTAGGAGATGACAGTGGTAAGATTTCATAATTTGCCAGCACAGGGAAAAATGTGTTTTTTCCAGCCATCTATGAAATGAAATTTGATTTGCTTTGGTATTATTTCTGACCTGCAAAAGGCCAAACCAGTAAAATAACGGCAATGTTAGGGGAGAGAGTTGTGTGTGTGCTTTTATCACTCCTATTCTCTTTTCAAAAATGTTGCCATAAACAGGCAGTTAATCCTAACGCTTTTGAGACAAGCCAACAGCTTGGCTGCCTGGTGTCAGGGCTGAGCCGTAAAACCAACCCCTGCTGATGTGGCGTGATTAAAGAAATTGAATGGAAGTTTCAAATCGCTAAATCTTATTTTATCTAACAAGCCTTTTAACGTCAATAAAAGAAAGCACCAAAAATGATTATTAAGGAGAGCTCAAACATGATAGACATGAGGCAAAAGTGCTTTACAAGTTTAACATTCATGCATTCAGTCAGACTCAGAGGTGGTCCATCCGACCATAGCCATCATTCACTGACACATCATCCTCATATGAGATGAGATGGTTGGTGTTTGGGCTTATGTCTTCCTGCTGTATTCACAGCGATCCAGGTACTAACCAAAACGACTGACTTGAGTATGAGTATGAGTATGACTTTGGTCCAATCTTTCACTTGTGTAAGAAACAAAATTACTTGAAGGATCCTAAATTCCGGTCTTGCATCTTCCATCTTCAGTCTTCTCATCTGTACATCTTTCTTGCGCACTTTTCTTTCTTCTCTTGACTAAAGGAGTTGTGTTTACATTTCTTGCAGCAGACTGCGGGGCACTGGAGTTTATTTTGCAGCCTGTGGTGATGGCTCTCTTCCTAGCCCAGAGCTGGCAGCCTCTTGTTGTTGATTCTTAACATGTGTTCATCCGTTCACCTCTGCGGTGGTGCGTTCCTCTCTTTTCCCCCTCAAGACCCTCAAGGTTTCTCTCCATTCAAAAGGCCACGTCGAACCATTTGACATCATACGCTTTATCGGCCTCCAGGGGGCCGTTGGAGCGCGCTTTGAAACTGTGAGGAAATACAAGTCTTCGAAGAGCATGCTTGAGTTACTTAGCGGCACTTAGCCTTCAGCGCTCACTGCAGAGGAGCAGAGGGGGCAATGTCGTCCAGTAGCCGCCAGGTCACTTAAAAATAAAAAAATAAAAACATGTTTTTGATGTTCTGTTTTTGCTATTCAAACTCCCTCTTCTGGCACCAGCAACAAAATGACTAACCGTCCACTTGGTTTGAGTACTTAGAAGCATTAAACAACTTTTGGTTTTGCCCAATATGTTACGTGGTGAAAACAGAAGGACTCAAAAGGCAAGACTGCCAAAAAGATAAAGATTTAAGGCTCACAGAACTCCAAACTCAAACCAAGAGACAAAAAAACAATGAACCAACAACAAGGGGAGAGGAGCACAGGTCTAAATACACACAGGGACACACAGGTGAAACACTGTAGGGTTAGGGTTGGGGACGGGCAATCCACAGACGGTAACACTGAACAGAACCAATACATCAAAATAAAAGCAGGTGAAAGTGATCAAACAGTCCACACCATGACACTTACTACTTACAGCTTCATCCAAAAATTATAACTTATTCAGTATATACTACAAGTTTCTCCACGCTGGTTCTTTCAGACACCTTTCTCTGATTGTAGCGGCTGCGTAGACATGAATATCTTGTTGTTGTTGATAATACCGGAGCCTGTTATGAAATCATTCATGAAATCTAAAAAACAAGGTTCTCTTATCCAATTTGAACGTATCTTATTCGTGATTTCTGAATTAAACTGTTCACAATTTAACATTGAGTCTCAACCTAAACGCGATGGTGCAGTGGTTCGCACTTGTGTTTTACAGCAAGAAGGTTCTGGGTTTGATTCCACTGCCAGACAGGAGCTTTCTGTGTTTCTCCTATACTTTTATAAAAAAAATCATGTACAATAGGGCGACACTGGCTCAGTTGGTAGAGCACTGGCCTTTGAGCCAGAGGGTCTTGGGTTCGAGCCCGACTTTCACCATCGACTCCCACTGTCTGCTGTCGTTGTGTCCTTGGCAAGACACTTAACCTCTGGGAACAGCAGATGCCACAGTGGGGAGGCTGCGGCTGTAAAGTACCAAACTGCTGTTGTGTTCTTAGGCAAGGCACTTTACCCCCATTGCCGTGTGTGTGTGTGTGTGTGTGCCAATGGCACATACTGGTTGCCTTATCACCACCGAGTATGGAGTGAAAGAATAATGACATTTTGAGTGTCCAAAAAAGCACTATATAAAACTGATTATTATAGTTCAGGGTGAATGTGTGTGTGTTTGTGAGTGTGACTGTAGGACTACGAATGCAAATTAGCCTAAGACCACAATCCAGTGGCATGTATTCATTAGTTTAGTTAATGAAGCAGTGTGTAAAAATCTGGCCAAAAGTGGTACTGCACTCTCTCTGACTCAGGTTGCCAGATATGCAGACGACCTTTTTTTACAAAGGCCCTGATAGAAATCCTCTTTTTTTTCCCTTTGTTTTGTCATTAATGATTTGAGAACCATAACGATACCTTTTTAGTTCTTTTATTTCCACATGTTGCTTTACCAGTGAGATTAGCTCAACACAGTGAGTTCTGGCAACCCCGGGTCACGGCTTTTCTGATTGGTGAAATGGTGGAGGGCGGGACATCAAAATGACAATAACAAGATTTAGGGGCTGTAAAACTAATTTTGAAATTTGAATATTGTTTCGGCCCGAAACGCGTTGCATATCCCTGTACATTAAAGGATTTTTATTTTTCGATATCAAGAGTGCTTCAGATTTTTCCTCATCTCTTTGAAATTTCCAGTGTTTTTCCACTGCTGATCCTGATGAGCACCTGACAAAGTTAAGTTAGACCCACCGCAGCACTCATCTCTCTTGAACTTGAAGTTGCATACATCCCCTTTAATGAAAGCAATCAAACATCCAGTGGGCAGGTAGACTAACAACTTGACTTTCTGATTAGTACAATTATCTGTTCCCTGAAATGAAATGGGCACTTCTGTGATTAAAAAAAACAAGCATGACGACAGCTGTAGAGATTGACTTTGAAGAGATATTTTTAAACCCAACAAAAGTGAAATGCCCTTGTGTTGAGTCGGAGCTGATTACCGTGTTGTTTTGCGGCAGGTCATCCAGTTCGGAGCAGACTGTAATCAGGACGAGTGCACTTGTCGAGACCCAGACGCGGACGAGAACAAGAACCAGACCAACCACACGCAGGGGGCCGGTGCTCAGGGTCGGAAGTGACACGTCAGAAGAAAAGACAACCACAACAAACAAACATCATGCTTCAGATTTGTACATTTTTCATATTGGAACTCTTAAAACGCCACTGGAGTCATGCAGGAAGAGCAGAGATAGGACTGAATCCAACTCACAATATTGTCCAGAATTCTTATTCACTTCTGTCTTTCAACTTACAATGTGAAACTAATGAATGTCAGACTCATTACACACAAAGTGACATACATCAAACATGTATCGGTTTGTAATGCAGACTCACAGATTGTAAAACATCTCAGAAAATGTGAATATTTTGAGATTGGACTGAACAAAGGCACAATGTCACTTTGCATGTAAGAAGTCTATATTATACATTTTTGTTGGTTTTACGTTTTAAGTTGAATTATAAACAATATTCTATTTTTAAGTTTCACCTGTACATCATTTGATCACAGTTGCGCCAAAAACACTTGCCGGAACGCTCACTGGTACTTCGTTTTATCTTTTACTTTTCACAGAGGAATCAGCCACATTTAGATGCATGTTTTAGAGAAGTGGATCACTGGGTTAACACAACTTTTCAACAACATACGCACACAATGTTGTTACAATTTTGCATCTCGCAGCCCTGAGCAGACACAGTATCTAGTCAGAGGAGGTCCGGCCAATTCTCGGATTGTGTAATGTCTTTAAACCAGTGCGTAAGTGCAGAGTTTTATTGTTTCATTATTTTCTTAAGGACAGAAATGGAAGTCATAAATTCTAAAATAATAGAAGGATAGGAAACAGTTTTGGAATGATAGTAGACACAGCATAATTGTTATTTACTTGTTATTTGTTGTTCAAGATGGAATGACCTTTTTACTACCTCTGTTGTCAAGTAAAAAGCACTATGGCAGTAATCAAATATTTAGTTTAGGTATTTCTTTTTTTAAACATTATTGAGGATTGTCTTTCTATCTATGAGGATTGTCTGTCTATTCTATCCTTATTTTTCTACTTCTTTACTAGTTTATGTATAATTTCACATCTGGACAAAACATTAAGTATATTTATTATTTTACGTGTACTTAAAATTGAGTACTTCCACCTCAATATTATAAATCTATTTTCCAGTGGCTGCATATCATTCAGATGTAGTAGAGACAAAACTTTGATGTCACATTTGGTCTGGGAGCTGTTTAAAGAAACACATTGAAGTGGATCTCTAACTTTTGTGACTCAATGACATTCTGAAGATGCATAAACCAAAGGGAACTGGCAGTGCCTGAAAAACCAACAGCACAAATCAAACGACTATTAAAGGAGTAAGTCACTGGTCATTAAAAACCAAAGAGACAAGTGGCTTGAGGAGCGATCATTTTAAATATCACAAGTATTACCTCATGAAGCTCATACTGCTCATATAGGTCGGTTTGTATAATATTTATCACAGTGTTCTTATCAGCAGCTTATGATCCATAGACTGTTTATTAGGAGTGGACTACGGGCGCTGCTGAATGTGGAAGAAGCCCTTTTTGAACCTAAGCTAGCTGGAGCTAATATCCTTATATGGGCGCTTGTTCCGAGGGGGTTAGCTTTGTGCCGTAGCAGGTGCGGAAATGTTGCTAAGAAGTTAAGAGTTTACCCAGAAAATGAAGGCATCGTAAATCCAGTCTTATCCCGATTTACAAAGACAATATAAAAATAGGGTCATAAAGAGCGATAAATTATGGAATTTTTTGTTGCGCCCAAAATGGTGAGGTGTCAAACGGTTACTGAGCCAGACGAGTTTACTTTTCAATGATACAAAGCAAAACTTTGTCCATGAGCACTTCCCTATTGGGCTTCATTGAGCTAGAGGGTTCGCATTGTCCGTCTGTGTACAGTCTATGTTTTGATCTAGCAGCAATTAGACAATGTTGTAGCGAACATATATGTGTCGTTCATTCTAGTATCTTTGCATTTGCGTATTATGGATTTTATGGTTCTTATCCGCTCGTTTGTCATAACACTTCTGAATGCATCATGCCCGGTGATGAGCACAACTTATCTGATTATGTATGTACTATTTAACGCAATTAAAGGTATATAAAAGCTGCTTTACCAGTCCTTACAAATGCATAGTGAAGTGTCCTGTTTGTCGAATTATTGTATGTGTTTTATTTGAATATGGCTGCTGGGTTTTGTACATGTAAAAATGATGTAATTAAATAAAATCCACTACATGTTTGATTGTTTCATTTATAGCTTTACATTGAAAGCGTTTCCTTTAGACTAGGGCTGAGTGTCTTTCGGAGACTACCGATCCGATACGTAATCTAGATACTGTACAGGGGACTTTCAATTTGATACAATATATTTCGATATTTCTATGATATGATTCATTACAAAATATAGGTTTTTGGCTCCTTATCTAACGCTCTGCCTCATTTGAACAAAAACACAACACTATTGATGCATTTATATAGCATGTATTGTAGATTAATTACTATCCTCCAGTCAAAAACAAAATCTATGTAGGATTTATGATTTTTTTTTTTACATTATTTCACATTACTAAGATAAATATTGTCTTAGTAAAATCAACAAATATTTACATTTGTCTTTTTTTTTTTTTGCATGCCCTGATTGTAGACCAGGGGTGTCCAAACCTTTTAGTTACTGGATCCAGGCTCCACATAGATGCACACCACAGCTGCTTTAGTGGCATACAGTATATGAAGATTTGTGGCACAATCAAAAACATAAGTCAGTCTATGCAAATAACTATATTGGTGGAGCTGAAGTTGGCTGGATGGTTCTGCCGCTCTGGAAATGAGCCAGCAGGAAGTTGTTCATTTAATTATCTCAGACCAAAAAGGGGAACAACACAAAGTAATCCACAGAAGAAGAAAAAACACCAATATTTTGTTTTATTTCAGAAGTGAAAAAGCCACAGTCAAATACATTGAAGTACATTTGTCATGCATTGCTAGAGCTGGAATGTGCTACTGTAGAGTTTTACTTTTCAACCACTTCTAAAAAGAATCACTAATTGTGTGGTTTCTATTGGGAGTTTCAACACATAACTAGCATAATACCTTTTCTGTAAGCACGACGTAATAAAGACATTTATGTACAAGAGTAAACACTTATTCACGCGATGCAGTCTATACAAAATCTACAAGCATTGCATGTTTGTTTAAAAATGACTGCGGAAAACAAAACTTCAAATAATTCACTGCGTTTCATTGTCTTCATTTGCAATTTCAGAAGAAAAAAAGAATGACAGTCACATACTTACTGTATCTAGAAGCTGTTAACTTGAATACTGTCAGCAGAGTGAGCAATAATGACTTCTAAAACATACAAATGGAAAACACTACATTCATTAAATTGTATTAGTAATTGTATCTACATAATCTTATTTATGATACACATCTATAATGTTTGTTCATGTGGTAGTTACCCTCATCAGACCTTTTACTATCAGTCAATCAAATACAGAATCAAAGTAGCCAGAAGGTTCATGTTTCTCAAAAGCACCTCCACACTGAAGTGGTTTTGAAGGCTGCTGCATGAACAAGTCCACACCAAAGCAAAATATATTATTATAAGTATTCTCACATACATTAAACTTTACACAGTTGCCGCAAAGAAAGCTGCTTTTGAATTGTTTTAAGGCCGTATTTGCAGAGATTGACTTTGGAAATTGTGTGTAATTTTAGGTTCACCAGTGCCTTTTTTAAAAGAGGTCAAAACTAAAAGGAATAAAGCTGGGATACTTGACTTTATACGACCATAAATAATACATTTTGTTTGTCACAACCATAAACTGTAAAAAATAATGGACAGAGTCACGCATATCTCCGCCGTTCTAACTAATGGGCCAAAAATAGTACTCTACTGGAGCTATCCAAAATGGCCGCGAGAAGAAAATTGTAAAAAAACGCATCTGCGCATGCGTCAGCCGGCGCAGCTCCATTCACTTGAACGAGAGACTTCAAAAATTCACAGCAAGTAAACTAGAGTGGACCAAAAAAATTCACCTCCCTCAGCATTGACACACATGTGGAACGGAGCTTTGGGCCAAGAGCCAACTTTTGGACCATCCTGTAAAGACGTTTTCGAGAGGTCTGCCAATGCTATATGTTAGCATTGGCTAATTCTACTTCTGGGTCCACCCCCATCGGCCCGGGGTGGTATTGCAAGCATGTCAGCGCACGTCATTTTGGCCACTTTTGAGCCGGGACCCGCCCCCACTGGTCCCAACAGAAAGAGTCTTGCAAAAGTAAAATCTTGTGAACAAATCAGACCAAAACATTACAAAAAATGTAACAGACGCCAAAAATACAACTTGTGATGGATTCGAACAGTTTTGAGATCAATGGATTTTACGACAGTTAAATTTTTTGTGGTTTGAAAGTTAGATACCTCAACTTCAGAGGTGAGAGTAGATTCAATAAGTAGTGGTAGACTAAACCATGTACAACTCCACTGCCGCCAGGACTCTCTTAAAAATAGAAATTGAAATCTCAGTGGGACTTTTCCTTAGTAAATATAGGTCATAAAAAATTCAATATAGGTTTGTGACTTTTAGAATGACCTGTTTTCTAACGGCTGAGTAAACATGTTCACATTCAAAATACTTATGCTGGTAAGTACTATAATAGTATTTGTATTTATTGATCTAATGTTCAAATGAAAGAATGCCATGATCTTGATGCATTCTTCCCCAGGTTTGTTTGTGCATAAACAGAGAGTATCGTCTACATCTAGAGCTCTTTGGGCTCTCCGTAGTCGTTGTACATGACTGTGAGTGTCTGTTCATCGCAGGCCTTGTGCACGTCCTGGCCCATCTCAGACCACTTCAGCCCGAACGCCTTACTGTCCGTGTAGCGACAAGACAGAAACTTGAGTGACATCCTCCGCAGGCCGATCTTAGGCTCCTGCAGCAGCCCCTTGCACCACGGGGACAGCTCGTTCAGCTGGGACAGGATCAGGCCGGCCTTCCTGAAAGCACACACAGAGAACGCTCTATCAACAGGAAAGAAAAACATCATGGCCCATCCGAGAGTGGCTGGAATCAAAAAAGAGTTATAGACTTTGAGGTATTTAGGGAAAATTTTCAGAAGGTACGATGACAGCAATATGGTTTCAATCTATGGAAAACATGGATAACATAATTATTTTGAATGCCATAAGTAACAGTAACAGGAAGTCACAAACATGCAAACAAAAATTGTAGATACAAATTTGAATAAGTGCACACAATAGACCAGCTCTGTCTCCAACCAAGAGCTCGCCAACGCTTTCCAGGTAGTAGTAGTAGTAGTAGTAGTTCCAGGTAGCTCGCCAAAGGATTTATAAATGAACAAATCAAATAATATACTGAATATTTTAGATTGTATTATTATCTATTATTATAAATGCAAACTTGCACTAGTGATGAAAATGTGATGATAAATAATGACTGTTGATATAATGGTTATCGGGCTTTCACCAATATACAGTACAGTTATCTGCAGTTCATCCAGAGTAATCATGGGCCTCTTGGTTGCATCTCTGATCAGTCTTCTCCTTGTTTGAGATGAAAGTTTGGAGGGACGGCCGGGTCTTGGTAGATTTGCAGTGGTCTGATACTCCTTCCATTTCAATATAATTGCTTGCACAGTGCTCCTTGAGATGTTTAAAGCTTGGGAAATCTTTTTGTATCCAAATCCGGCTTTAAACTTCTCCTCAACAGTATCTCGGACCTGCCTGGTGTGTTCCTTTGTCTTCATGGTTCTCTCTGCGCTTTAAACAGAACCCTGAGACTATCAAAGAGCAGGTGCATTTATACGGAGACTTGATTACACACAGGTGCATTCTATTTATCATCATCAGTCATTTAGGACAACATTGGATCATTCAAAGATCCTCACTGAACTTCTGGAGTGAGTTTGCTGCACTGAAAGTAAAGGGGCCGAATAATAGTGCACGCCCCACTTTTCAGTTTTTTATTTGTTAAAAAAGTTTAAATTATCCAATACATTTCATTCCACTTCACGATTGTGTCCCACTTGTTGTTGATTCATGACAAAAAATTAAAATTTTATATCTTTATGTTTGAAGCCTGAAATGTGGCGAAATGTTGAAAGGTTCAAGGGGGCCGAATATATTCGCAAGGCACTGTACATTTTCCCAGGACCACTTACAGGAGTCGCTCTCTGCCTTTTTGGTCTCAGTTAAGTAATTCTCTGGATGAAAAAGGTTGGAGACACCAGCACTAGACGTTTAACAGTGCTGATTATCGATGAGTGACCGTAGGTATGACATTCAAAAGTCATCTTTTTTTATTTATATACCGCCTTTTCACTGCACATCGGAGTCTCAAAGCGGTTTACAATTGTTATTTTTGGGAGTGGGGTCGCCAGTACAGGAGGCACATGCCAGACCTATTGTACATATTTTTAGTGGTAGGGGAAACCGGAGCACCCGGAGGAAACCTACGCAGACACGGGGAGAACATGCAAACTCCACTCAGAAAGGCCCTGGTCCAACCGGGATTCGAACCCAGGACCTTCTTGCTGAGAGGCGAGAGTGCTATCCACTCAGCCACCGTGCCGCCCAACTTTATACTTCTGCCCAAAAGTGGCAGAAGTATAAAGTGACAACATATACATTTAAAACTAGCTTACTATTTTGTTGTAAATCAACCATAATTTTTTATCTTTTGTATTGTTGTTTGAAAGTGTAAGTCATTCACTTTTCTGAAAAACTATTGATAGAACCAAACCGTTTTGAGAGCAAGTAACTTATTAGATGGATTGTACACCATGGTTTCCATCTTCTTTAGGTGCCTCTAGTCAGGTACTTATTACAAACCTGGTTGAGCTTGTGAAATTAAGATGTAAAGCAGTTAATGAATTGATATTTTTTATATCAGTGGAAAGAGGTACTATATCATAACAAAAGGAAATCTTAATATTGATACTATCATAGTTTTATTAAAGAGATGAGCTTGTCGATGGTAGATCACAGTAAACACCATCACGTGCCAAAATTCCTGCACCGCACTGCAGAATAATATTTATACAGAAGAAGAAAGAATGAGAAGAAAAACGTCAGTAATTCCTAATATTAAATTACTCATTCTTTTCCTATTCTGTAAACGGATTGACGACTGAATATCCAATGACACGCTATATACTGTACGTAACACCAGACCAAAGTAAAACGGTCTAAAAGCAACTCAATAGTCACATGAATAACAATATGAAAGATGTGTCTCGACTTTTCTTTCAAATATGGATTGTAAAGGTCTGCGGAGAGCGTGCCAGATAAAGTGCACGGTTACGGCCACATTCAGCCCAAACCAAAGCAGAATGAATGACTGAATAAATGCAGACACATCCACGCGATAAAATTATGGTTTTAATATGAGCAGGGAGTACGATTTCTAAAACGCTCGAAAAACCATTTTAAGCCAAACCATTCTAGCGTTCTACTCCTGCATGGTAACAGTATAGGGACATTAACTGCAATAAATAACTAATACAGTCGATTAAGCCGGTGTAGTTTATCTTGACTAAGTGTTTTCCTAAAGTGGCAGAATGGCAGATTTCATTCATTCCACTCGAAGCGCCTCATCACTCAGCTCAAACCCGCCACAAATACGGCAGGCTGCCCCCGGGTCGTGCCAAACCGCAAGTCTGTCGTAGCGTCACAGAGCACGCTATACTGATGATCTGATGACACATGGGAGCACCCGGACTACAACACGATATGTGCAAGTTAAGAGGAAATTAACAACCGCACAAGTGGAGTGAACAAAGAACGTTTATTTGTACATGTTCTGACCCAGGTTCAGGTTTTCCACATAAGCTACACGCAGAAAATGACATCACGGGCGCAGACGTGAGTATTGGTTTCATAAGACATGGGATTAATACGATTTACAAGCAAAATGTTAAAGGGGTGAAGCTGCCGTGAATTCAGCACTTTTGGTGACAGACGTGGCCTTTACTTTGGTGGAAACAAGATGGTTCTATTGAAAAAAAGCAGGTGAATGATGGATAGAGAAAAAAGTGTCTCCGGGATCTCGTTACTGGAAACAGGAGGGTCTGATGACAGCGCTGATGATGCAGGACATTTAAGGATATTTATTAATATTTGTGGACATTGGTCATCCTGCCCCCTAGGGATCAATGCCTTCTATGTGTGTTTGTTATTATTCCATTTCCTAGAATTGAACTGTTGGATTCTGTGATCTGTTGTAATTTAGGGCTATACAAGCCATATATTGAAATTAATTGAGTTAGTGTCCAGAAAAATATATGTGGGAATTCATAGGCAAATACTGTTTATAATAAATCCAATGGAAATGATGTGTTCAGGTCAGTGGGGGCGGGTCCCGGCTCAAAAGTGGCCAAAATGACGTGCGCTGACATGCTTGCAATACCACCCCGGGCCGATGGGGGTGGACCCGGAATAAGAATTAGCCAATGCTAACATATAGCATTAGCTGAGCATTGCTCTTGGCCCAAAGCTCCGTTCCACATGTGTGTTTTTTTTGGACCACTCTAGTTTACTCGCTGTGAATTTTTGAAGTCACTTGTTTAAATGAATGGAGCTCGTGCCGACTGACACATGCGCAGATGCGTTTTTTCACATTTTCCAGCCCCCGCGGCCATTTTGAATCACTCCATGAGAGCCCAATTTTTGGCCCATTATTTAGAACGGCGGAGATAGGCGAGACTACGTTTGTTAATATACAGTCTATGATTCAGGTAGAATATCAGACCCACTTTTATTAAGTTGTGTGTCTGCGGTCTACTATTTATTTGATTTGACTAATTTTACTTTTTATGATCTGCACTTTTGATCTAGACCTTGAGTCTGCTAATAAAGTTATCTACCTATCTATACATGAGTGTTTGTTTTCATGTTTTATCTATGTAATAAAAACAATTAAAAAATGTATTGTTTTGATTTACTTTTTATTTATTTTACATGTATGTTTAATATCTTTTAAACGACTAAACTTAAATAATATAGTGTCTTCTATTACTCATATAATACTTATTTATATAGCTGTCAAACTAGTATGATTACATTCGTTGTTGTCTAAGTGCATAATTTTTGCAACCAGTAAAAGGTTCTATATCGACAAAGTGGATGGAAAAAGACAAAAACAAACTCCATAAATATGTTATTAAAAATACTAATACATCAGAGACAGTAGCACCATGTAACCGGTGTTGATTACCCGTGTGCTGTGATTAAAACAGTAGATTGTGACTGATGCCCTGGCGTTTATTGACACAACTCTAAAACAACACTTTCAGTAACTGTGGTGAACAAATATTGCGCTAACTTTTGTTGAAGCAAATCAGACTCCTCTGCTGTCCTAAAATAAACCTATGTCCTAAAAACACATACTAACTTCCTCTGAATGTTTCTGGCAAACACAATGTATCCTGACAACCATTACAGCCAATTCATCTCGTGCATTGAGTCAACTGAGGTTCTTCATGTTATTTCTTGGAATTCCAATCTTATAAAAAAAAAAAAAAACAAGTCTGGCCTTTTCCTTCTAACAATTACTCTAGATTGCGTCGGGATCACTTATTTTTAATTGGACGAGGTCAGTTCAGTACATATAGTTCTCAGCAACACAAACTAACCTACGCTATGTGAGATACAGAGATCCTTTATTCAGCACACAGAGTGGAAATGTCAGTGTTGCATCACCAGTTACAGAACAGTAGGAATGAGGAGCAAGATAAAGGAACCCTAAACTCTACACTAAATAGAATATCTAGCTTTAGCATAATAAGGAAGCAGTCTATATTGTGTGGTCCTGTTTTATCTGCATTATTTATTTAATTGTGTTTTAGTTTTGGATCTATATTTAAATGTGTATAACTGGTATTTTATTGTTTTTATTACATTTTTGTACACAATTGTTTTTACCTCGTACATAATGTTTTACTTATTCTATCATTTAACCATAAAACGCAGGCAAACCTGTATATTTAAATGTGTTACTTCTATCTCTGCGCAGCACTTTCGAAACTTG